CCCAGCATCTGCTTGGCATATAGCAGCACTGTATCCATATTAAAATGAAGTGTCATGGCACCCACATTTATATAGTGCTCACAAATATTAGCTAAACTCAAATTAAACTTATACGTTCCATAAAGTTTCTGAATAAACTCAATTACAGTGAAGCATTTAGAAAGCTCATTTGTAAGCTGAAGTCGCTGAGTTAGAAAGGAAAAACGGAACATTCAGTTTCAGTATACAAACAGTAGTGAGTGAATTTAAACAATTAAAGCTTGTTTTCGTTTCTTATTAAATGTGTTCAAGCCATTGGTAAGCTATACTCAAAAAAGATAACTAGTACTCATATATGCAGTGTAGCTACCCATTAAGAACAGATAGGGAAATGTGATGGTGGAAATTTCATTTATTCAAGCCCAACAGAATTCTGCCATTTCCATCCTAGTAAGTAACAGTGGATTGTAGCATTTTTTAAAAATTCTGATTCTGGAAATCAATATTTTTTCTGGTTTTGTGATTTCAAAAATTGTAATTTTCACTTTTTGTGTGTGCAGGGATCTTGAAATTTGTGCAAATGTGCTATTTTTAAAAATTATGGTATCTAACTTGCACTTGTGCTCATGATCACAAATATGCTTGTCCACAATGCATGCCTTCTAGATTGTTGACACCTGCTGACATTAGGGTTCTAATAAGGAAGAAAAGTAGATCCCACAAGCCAGACATCTGCCAATACCTGTGCTATACTGCTGAAATTAGTATAGCTTTTGATGTGTTGACAGAAAAAAAGTATTGTTAAAATGCCCTCATTACCCTAATTCTAATCATCTATCCTAAAGTGTCTTGAGGATTTGAATAAGACATAAAGGCTTAAGGACCCCTGTCACATGTTTACTGACACTTTCAATGAACTCGAAAAAGTTTGTGCAATAGAACTTAACTGTAGAGAGTGGGACCATCTTTCCCTCGGTACAGACTGTTCAGATAGATTTGTCTGATTGTAAGGAGGAAGCAGGGCAGACACAGGAACTTCGAAACTTCAAGGTTACATATTAAAGTTACTCAGGCAGAGCATAAGAACCAGCCTGGGTTGGAAGGGTTTTCAAGGAAGGGAGCATGTGCAAGCCCAAATCTTCGACCTAGTAAGGTGTTGAGAGAAATGAGCTGCTCAGCAGGAGAAGCTTCACCTGTTTGAGCTGACTTGCCCTCAAGTGGCAAGAGCCAACCTGATGGAGGAGTCAGAAGCTTTACTGAAATGGAGCGACAGGGTGAAGTTTCCATTTGGGATTCAACTCTTGACACAAGTAGTTTCTCCCTCAACTTTGGTAGAAGGCTGTTTAGAGTCCATACTGCTTGGTCATCTGTTAAGTTTCAATAAAAGAACTGTACTTCAAAGAACTGTCTTGAGTGTGATAATCAGAAGGAAAGAGAGAAGGGACTAGCCCACAACAACACCTTTGCAGAAGCTGCACTGATTCTTTCTCAGCAGGGCTTGTTCTCTATATGGTTGCACACTTTATTTTTACCTGGAAAAGCCATTAAATTGGACTGCAATTTTCTAGATCCCCTTTTAAAATTGTTGTTACATTGGCCATTCTCCTATCTTCTAGTACAGAGGCTGGACTGTTCATGACAAGTTAACATATTTTTGTAAGAAGACAAGCATAATTTCATATTTGAGTTCTTAAAGAACTCTAGGATGGATGCCAACTGGGCCCAGTGATTTACTTACTTTCAGTCTGCCATCTTTTATTAATACTATTTATCTTAGACCCTCAGACTCTGTTCCTCTGTTTTGGAAACCTCCCTGATTTTATTTCCAATCTCAAGATTACCATGACCATTCCGGCTTGGGGGACAATGGCATATTCCTAATACTAAATTAGTTCTGGAGCCAGGTATGGTCACCCATAATGTTTCTATGGAAGAGTCTGCACCTTTTAGTCTGCTGGACTCTACGCTGTCTTTGATATACAAAGCAACACTTCCTCCAATATGTCCTGTGTCATAGGAATCACCAGAATAGTGTTTTATTCCCATACTAATCCAATTATATCTGAAGTGATTACATGGATGGATTGACTGATTCCTTCCCACCTCAGCTCTGCTTGCCAATATGAGATCAGTTAGCCCCAAGGTAACTCATCAGTCTCCTCACTGGACATGCATTTCTAAGGAACAAAAGGAATCAACAGAGAGTTGGCATAGGCACCTAAACTGCCATCCTTACTGAGCAGTTGGTGCTGGCAGTTCTAGAGCATTAAAGTATCTACTTGGCTACTGTTTTCAAACCACTTACCCCAAAGCACTCTCATTTTTGTAACTATGATCACTCTCAGTGGTTGCAACCTTTAAGGGATGCTTCTCATGTTACAAATTCATATATACAAACTGACATTTGTTTACAGAAAGGCATACATTTTGCAATATGACAATGGATACAGATGTGCCCTTTTTGGCCTAATATAGAAAGCAGATCAGCATCCAGAAGCATATTACGGAGGGGGCAGAAGGGAGAAAGGGAATAAGAAATCAACATGGAGATTCTTATAAACAAAACAACCTCCAACACTCCTTGATGGTAGATGACATTGGTAGCTTTAAAATGGTTACTTACAAAGTAAGTGGCCTGAAAACCAGTAACCACTGTACTGGAAAAATAGCCTACTGGTTATGGGAAATGTAAATGAAGATTTTCAGTGGTTTTATTCCTGCAGCTACTAGCCTAAAGAAAAAAACCAATGTGCCCACCACCAAAAGACTTACTATGCAGATTATATCCCATCTACATGAAATTCCAATACTATGATGTTATGTTCTTTTCAAGACTTAATTACAGGCATACCTTAATGCTTGATTAGTAAGATGTCTGCAGAAAGACCACTTAGCAGAGACAAACTTGTCACATAATATTGCCTTGCTAATTCAAGCCCAGAGATTCTGTGGCTGTCAAATGAAATTCAGTTTCTAATTTTTGTCTGTAAACTATAGTAATATTTCAGAAAACATTGGGCTAAAGGTCTGAAGTGTCTTCTACTCACAAAAGGGAAGTTTTATACCTACTGCTACAGAGTGGTATGAGAAAAGTAGAACTAAACTGAAGACGGTCTGCTACTTTAGGAAGCATGAGAATTTTATACCTACCCATTTAAGCATTACATGCATGCTAGCAGGTGATTCCCTTTTGCTCATGGTTCTTTCGATCCAACTTACCACATCAAACAATTTTACAGGATCTACAAACAGTCTGGTATTTTATTCCAATTGAATGAGAGTTTTCAATATCATTCAATATCATTAAAATGTCATGTTCTCAAAGATACATAATGACTGGGTGCATTGATGTAAAATATACTGAATGGCTACCACTATCCACATAGGCTGGAAGGTCTTTCTCCATCATACCCCAAGATTCCTTTCATGGTCAGTCACTGCTGAGTCAGTTATCATAAGCGTATATTTGAAGCTGGGATCTCCCACTGCCCAATATGCATTGCTGTATACATGCTTACACTGAACTACATGTGTCATTTGTTTACCCGCTCTCCAAGTTTGAAGAGTTCCTTTTGGAAACTCTGCTGCAGAGCCCTGTGGGACCCCACTATTTACACCCCTCCATTGGGAGAATTCACCAGTTCTTCTTACTCTTTGCTTTCTCCTCTTTAACTAGATATTGAACCATAAGATCCATACTGAACTTACTTTGGTAAGGGACTTTATCAAAAGCCTTCTGGAAATCCAGGTAAACTATACCTACTGGTTCATCCCTGTCCATATGTTGAGTGATACTCTCAAAGAACATGGTCTTCTCCATTCTGTGAATGGTTATACCTTTAATCTGCCTAGTACCAGTGGGTGGGACTTTTTGTTCAGTTGTTTTTTGAAACGATTCCCCAAACATTGTAAATTTCTTTGGAACTTACACAGAAATAACTAAATATTTTAAAGAATATAGGAGAAAGTTAAACTGACAAATCCAACCATCTCTCTTCTAGATGTCCATCAAGTCAAGTGAAACACTCAGGAATATCAACATTTAATAAGTTATTTCCAAACATTCAAAGTGGTTACAGAATTGACAAGATAAATATAAAGCCACTTGGTATTTTAGTAACCATAAATGAATGAGCTTTACAATCACATGTTCCCTAAAATCCAATAACTTTCAAATGTCTCATAAGAAAACAATAGAAATATGGCAAACCCTATTGTAAATCACAGTTTCTTGAAAAATCTATATTGTTTTAAAATAACAAATGGCAGTTCATAATGTAGTCTTCAGCCTATATTCTATACAATAAACTTTCTAATATAAAATGGTGCACATTCAATCAACTTTCTTTACTATTTTAAAGGAATTGTTCTGCATTCCCTAAAGAGATCTTCAACATAAATTGAATTATCTGAAGTCTCAGAACTTCTATTAAAGCTCAGGTCAAAACTGGTAGGGGCTTCTCTTGAGATCCTTTACCAAGATCTGACCGTACAATTGAAACTTTGTCAATCTTTGAAGTTCCCATAATATTTTACCACAGTGACACTCAACCAGGAAGGTAACTGCAGGTTACTCGAAAAAGAAACATCTATGAACGATCTTTTAATGCTATATAGGTCGAGCCTCCACAGTCAGCTTTTATGCAAATACCCATAAATATCCTTCTAGCTTAATCAATAATCTGTTTTATGATCTTTGGGCTGCAGTCTTGTACACAATTACCCAGAAGTAAGCTCCACCGAACTCAGTGAGATTTACTTAGGAGAACTGCACCGTTAAAACTCAATCAAAGATACAAAAATGGGACTTACAGTTCTTTTATATTATGCTTAGCAATACATATAAACTAGTTTTCAAAGGGATTATTGACTTGATTCTTTCTCCACACATAACAGCACAACCCCCACCCGCAATTCAGATCACTCTTTTTCTTTTAAAAAGCAGCCCACCGAATAACTGAGGAGACGTTTCTGCCTAGCAGGACTAAACCCTTGGCTGACGCATCAGTTCTTGAACTTACCTACTTATTTGGAGAAGCGAATAGTTTGAAGAGCAAGTTGTGCCTTCCAGCACTCAGCAGGGAAGCCTCCTTTATAGCCGCCGGGCGCCTTGGCATTTGCTGCTCCTTCTAGCTAGAAACTGAGACACTCCCACCACTAGGCAAGCAGCCGCAAGGAGAAACAGCTAGAAGAAAGTTTGCCCACACCGCTCCCTTTCCCTGGCAGGCAGCTCTTCCCTCTCGCTCCCGGCCTCGCACCTCTTCACGCGAATGCCATTTGCACCGTTACCTCGGCAGTGCAACAGCTGGAGGTTTCCGCTGTGCGAGGGCGGCTCCGGGGAGACAAGCAGGGGCGAAGGCTGCCTTGGCTGGGCTGCTGGTGCCGTTGCTGCTTCTAGAGCCGCCGCTGTGTTTACAGCCAGTTTCATGCTCTATGCTTGGCCCCTCCCTCTCCCTGTCTGCCACAGCCTCGCCTGACATCATTCATTCTCTTACATTCACACGCACGCCCACTCCATTTCCAAACAGTGACTCACCCCAGCCCTGCCGCTATTCCAAGGCTGGGCTAGAAAAACCGGTTAAAGACCTCTAGAGGAAGGGAAATAACATAACATAACATAAAATGGGGGGCGGGGAAGCCCCATTCTGGCCACGAAAAGACGGGGGGAAGCAGCACTTTGCATAAGAATTAAGCAATAGATCGTTGCCTATACCTTTTAACTCCGTTTCAATTAAAGCGCAGTTAAGAGGGCGGCGAAGCAGTTCTTGCAAAGAGAACGAGAGAGCTTCTGGGAATTTATAAAATCGTGCTTTATATCTTAAAGCTTCCTTAAAGAAGCACATTATTGGCAGACTCCGATGTTTCCAGTGCCAGTTCCCTGCTCAGCGTTGCCCAGGCGTCTATACTTCTTTCTCTGCCCCTCCACGGTTCGTTTGTACCTCTATCATGCACACTTCATAAACCTGAGTCCTTCAAACACCTTCCTCCCCACCACCACCACCACCACCACCACCACCACCCGGAAATGTGTTTATAGGATCAAAACTTCAAGGTAGCTTAGAGGTAAGACTGACCAGGAGCATGAAAAGGCAGCTTGACCCAAAACCTCCTGCAAGGAAGCAATGGTGGGTCTCCCTTACCTCAAATTTCCCCAACTACCTAATCGGAAAGTAAAGGGCATCACAGAGATAGTTAAAGGGCCACCAAAAAAGAGAAGTTATTTTATTAAAATCAAGTTTGGGAATATTTACTTGCCAGTAAGCTCCACCAAACAGTGGGTCATTCTAAGCAAGTATGCCTAAGATTGGACTGTGCTTATATTATCTAGTGTTGTAAGCCGCCCCGAGGCTTCGGCGAATGGGGCGACATAAAAATGTTTTAATAAATAAATAAATAAATAAATAAAATATTAAAATGCCATAATAACTTCTGTATATATCTCATGAGATTGGATGCTGACAGCATCACCATCTGTATTTTTTAAAAATTTAGACCTACTTTGGGCCTTAACTGTATATGGACATTCAGATATTTAACTATTAGTGAGTGACACTGCTTCTTCTACCATTTTGATCTTTACACCAAAAGCAGCAGCCACTTCTTTGTTAGAGGTGCTGGAATAGGGCCAATAGTAAGAGATGGCAACTCTACTGAGAAAGGATGTGACTACTGAAAGGGTTAATACTGTTAAGAGAAATCAGTGGACATGAAAATCAGTTCTAAAAAATCATCTGCTAATAAAAATAAGTTAGAAATAATATTTTAGAAGTACAGACATTTAGGGTTCAGTCCTATGGATATGCCCATAAACTTCTGCACTCCAACGGTGTTGGGCATCCTATGCATGGTGGGAGTAGTATGGATGAGAAGCATGCGTCTGTGTTCCTCCCATCCTGTAAAACAATTAGATGGCTGATTTTGGATGCCTAATTAACATGCACTGGATGCAGAGAGAAGGGATACATCATATTTTGGGGTTGCCAGGCTTTTTCCTTCCCTTCCCTTCCCCACTCCCTAAGGTGTGACCTCAGAGAAGCAGTCAGTGTGGTTCTTTCCATACTGGCTGTGACATTGGGAGGGGGCATCAAGTCCCAGCTCTGACATTGGAGCTGTTTTCTGACACTGAAGCCGGGACTCTGTACAATCCTGTGACGCTTTAGGCATTTCAGGAGTCAAAGGATGGCTCTGCCTGATGAGAAAGGCTGCACACAAAACTTCATTGGCTCAGCAGTTCTGCATACTTAATACATATTAACATATGGAGCTATGCATGCATAAAGGACTTAATCCAGAAAGAAGAAGATAGCATCATCCTTAGGTTGTTAGCTTTTAGGTAAAAATGATATATAAACATCTGCAGTCATGGATAAACTTTACCTATAAAAGCCTCCTATAGCTGTAGGTAGCAGTGGATGACCCATCGTACTGCAGGGCCAGACTTTTGCCTGGGTTGTAGGCCTAGCATCGAGGTGGCTAGGTCCAATGCCTTGGGGTTGCTTAGCAATGGTCATAGATTTACCTCAGCCCCATCTTGCTTGTGCAGCTGAGAAGCTGGAACTAGTAGTAGCCACAGGGGCCTTCATGCAGCAGGGTTCAAAGGCGGCTGAGGAGAGCCTTCAATTAACAGACTCCTGTATTTCCAAAGGGTACACTTTTACTGTTACACTCAACACTGGGTGTAACAATAAAAGTGTACCATTCAGAAACACAGACTCACATATCTGTTCCACAGAGAAGGAGCCTTTACAGAGTGGCCTTCAGCTAGTTGTGCTTTCATGATAACATACCTCACAAACTTGCTGTGATGAGAGATGTGTACCCTATCCTGGGAGTCTGGGACTGATTAGGAAATGATTACATAAATAGGTCAGCCTACTTTTTGGACAGTAGCTTCCTGTCAGTGTAAAGATTTGCTCGCCCCAAAGTTGTTCCTTGCCTAGCCTAGCCATTTTTTTGCCCTGCATAAGGTTCAGTATTAGGTACCAGCAATGCTTAATTTCTATTCAAATTACTGAATATGTGTTAATGTACAACATACAGCTCTTGTGTCATATTCAGACATGATGAATTAACTCTGCACTATCTTTTGCAGCACATTCCACACTCTCCTTTTTTTACATGGTCATAGGAGAACTACCACTGCAATACTGTATTAACTCACAGAAATCTGTTATATCGATTAAATAACCTATAAGGAGCAAAAGTTATGTAGACACAATAAAGCTGACATAATGTCAGGGACCTCTTTAGATGGCAAAGGCAGCTGAATTTTGTTACATTTATATCATGTTCCAGGATCCCAAGGTAGAATACATTATTATCCTTTCTACTGCATTCTCACAACAACCCAGTGAAGCAGATTAGTTAAGAATCAGTGACTAGCCCAAACCCAATGAGGTTTATGACCAAGTAGAGATAAGAACCTGGATCTTGGTCCCACATACTACATCACCTTGGCTCTAAAGAATCAGTATACCTTCTAAAGCCATATGATTATACAAGATGTGTACACATTTGTTCTTCTTCACAAACAGAAGGGTTTCTCTGCTAATGGAAGTGAGTTGGATCTGGCAGATACTTTTGCCCTGCAAACTGGATGATCCCACAGGTGGAATAGGGAAGGTAATTTTCACTGATGTCTTCTTCATCCAGTCCCTAGCCTTCAGCACCACCTCTCTTGCTTCCTTTCCAGGGAATCTTCTAATCCTCCTGAGCAGATTTTCAGGAGCTTAAGGAGCTACAGCAGGGAGAAGGAAATCAAAGTTTTGTTATGCACACCTCTGAATCTAATCCAATGTATACCATGTACATCCTTTTCTTTGCAGAAAGCTTCATAACAAATTAAAAGGCATATGTGTATTTTTATAGTACAAGGATTTTAACTGTCATTTCCCATTTCATCAATTTATCACATAGGGAAGTATGCAATGTAAGCTGAATACTAATGTAAATTAAATGCGGTAGTGTAAGTAATGAGCTTCAAGAGCTGAGCAGGGCATGTTGGAGTGCATTTGTTCATAGGACTGCCATAAGTCAGAGACAATTTGATGAAACTTAACTAAGCAATCTCTAGTGGGAAACCCATTGTGTCAGCTAACAGGTTGTTGCATTGGAAGTCCTTATGCTAGCACAACATAATTTATGATAATACTCATGTAGGTGGATACTGCCCATGGAGTGGATAAAAAAATTATTAAAAAGTCTTTATGTCCTTCAACCTGAAGTTGCCAGTAGCGCAGTCTTCACAGTAGCAGCCCTGATTATGAAACATTCGTCTATGTATTGTACTCTGTACCATATCAATTAATGTGTAACACTAATAAAAATATACAACTTCCACAATTTGCATTGCCCTCTGCAGAAAAAAGGACCTTATTGTGCAATTAAACACAAACTTTCCTTAATATTGCACTCATGCAATATGCTGTGAAATGAATGCAAAGGATCTCCTTGTTACAATAAAAATAATTTAAATAGTTTGGGTATGATGATAAATAGTTTGGGTATGATAATAAGGGTTCACTTCTGCTTGTGTCTTTCTACAGACAAGGGCAACTAAACAAATCATGAACACACCATCCATGGTTTGTTTTTCATTGTTTGAAAACTGGGAACTCTGGCTTATCTTTCCCCATAACAAGCCAGAGCCATCAGCCAAGATTAAACCAAGGTTTAAATCTTTGGCTTGTCTAGGAAGAATTCCCAGAGTTCCCAGTTTGCAAGTAATGATAAATGAACCACAGGTGGAAGATGGAAGCTACGAGATGTGCTAAACAAGAGCAATCGGGCAGCATGCACCAAAACAATATTCATAAACAATAAGCCAAGGTTCGTGACATTTGAAGCAGATAAGATAAACAAATGGTATTATCTACAAATTGAAATGAAAGTTTTCATAAGTAAGGAAAAACTACGCTTAACAGGAGCGTACACCTAGTGACTGAATTTTGAAGGGCAATTTTGTGCACATGTTCTTTAATATCAGGAGTTTGTTTTTCTGTAAAAAAAAATTCCAGGGTGAGCTTTTATTTATTTATTTATTCAATACATTTCTTAGCTGCCTTTCAAGACTTTAGTCTTTTTTATTCATCTGAGCTGAAGCAAATCCAATTTCTTTTCCCTTATGGCATTTCTTTCATGAGATCAGCAATAGTGTTATTGGAGATGGTATTACTATAAATGGACACAGTCTAGCTTGTACATTAAAGTTGTGATGATTTCCAGAAAGATGCCAGGGAGTTCTTTGAATTAGCACTGTGGATAAATGCAAGAGAGCCACCAAGCTTGGGAGGAAAAAGATGAAAAAAGCTGTTCTTAGGACTTCAGGCATTTGAAACAGTTTTGTATTAATAACAATAAAATTTAGATTATATTGTTTTTACCCTTCTGTTTAATCATTTGAGTAGTTTTCATTTGAATGTTTACTAGTAAAATATGAACCTCTAAGTTCCACTTCTGCTATAAATCAGGTGTTTCCACA